TAGCGTCCTTGCTCCTAGTAGCGATGGCCTCCACCCTAGGAATGCGTTCAGCCACTTGCTTTTCTGAGTTTGGACATATGAGTCATCGTGACACATGTTTCTTGCACTTCAGCAAGGGGGTGGAGATGGGAAATCGTTCAAACTCACCGGACATCCCTTTGACATCCTTTGACCATCTCACGCCATCTCGCAAGACAACACGTTTGACCATCTCATCCTTCCCACCCCTTTGGGGTCGAGGTAGATTACGATTCACTACTGGTAACAGTTGGTTTCCCGCCATGCTGGGCAGATTGACAGGCCGTACTCAGTGAGCTCAGACGTACTCGGCTTCCCGCCGTTGATCGAAGGAATCCGATCATCTCGGCGAAGGAATACTGACGTCTAAAAGCAATGCAGTTGAAGAGGGAGAGAGACGCGGAGGGAGCGAAAAACAACACACACAAATAATTTGGTTATATACCAGAAGTCACAAAGGGGCGGTTTTTAGTAGTCTTTGAGTGAGTGGATCAAGGGCACCCCGACTTCCTCCAAGAACGCACCCCGTTGGGGCGTTCTGTACTCGCTCAGGGCTTCCAAGTTTCTCGCCGCAGCACGACTCTTGGTCTACACCATGGGCTTTGGGAAATTGCTCTACTCCCACATTTTTGAGCTCTACAAGTCCTCCAGCCGACAGGTGCTTCGATAAACAGGTGTTTTCCTGCAGGTCTTTGGGTATATAGCATTTGCTGTAGACTCTAGACAAGGTCAATGGTGTTTTTGCCGCGCTACTTGTGATATAGAAGCACCCATACCCACCCACTTTCTGGATACAGCGAAAACGGCACGCCAGGAGTGGAAATACATTTGTGGTCTGCGGATTCCGACTTACCTTCTCAAGAGCACCGAAATGCTCAGCTTTGCCTTGATGATCAATATGGCCTTCATGCTCACGGCCGGGGGGGCGGCAGTTGGATGTTTCCCGGGGTTGACCTACAAGCAGTTCACCACCAGCCGTTGATTGGGGGTTAAGTCTGAGACCTGAGATCTTCTCGTTGGGGTGTTGCACGTCCGTGTTTTTGACACAAATTGTTCCTGTTTATCTTTGTTCTTTCGCCCCCCCACCATTCATTACAGTGTTTTCACCATTCTCCATGGTGCATTTCTTCGTTCGTTCTTGTTGGCTTCTGATCAGCCACCACTCTACTTGCCACCGAGAGGACGATAACCTGGGCGTCGGGGCCCATGGACGCTTTGTTGAACGCCATACCCGGTGAGTTGATGCCAGGTCCGGGACCTGGGACCTGGGACCTGGACAAGTTGTTATTTGGCTCCAGAGGCATGATCAATGTTTGTTAATCCTCTATTATCCATAGTTCTACCCTTCAAAACGATGAACGAAAAGCATGCGGCCCCAGGACCAGCATTTCATAGAGCACTATCATCAAGGTTCTCGAGTTTTGGGTCCATGACCCTCAGTTCTATGGAGCTGAAACCTTTTATCTTGACTGTTAACATTGAGTTTGTAGAGGTCACCTGTTGACGGAGGTCGGGTCCCACACTTCTAGCACCATAGAACTGCTACCCCCAAGGTACCAATTTCATATCAATGCTTTCAACCATCCTCTGGGTCAATGAGGCAATGTGGCAACTAGTGCAAAAGATTAAAGATGACCATTTAAGGGGTCACGGTATCACATCCCTCACGGCATCACTTGGACCAGCGTGGTATCACCAATCACTCAACGTGTAACTTTAGGTGTTGGCGCCATGCACACCGTTCGGGCCGTTCGTGGCACCTGGGCCATGCGACACCAGACGCTCTGGACGTGAGGGACGGACTGGACGCTCTCCATCAGGTGGAGCCAATGGTTCACTGCTTTGGAAGTTCAGAGGCCTGGGACGGCCACGGTCGCTCGCGCTTTCCATGGGCGCGCGAGACCAGTCGGTGACGAGACCGGTCGCACTGGGTCATGACCCTGGGCGCACCCAGACCGCGCCCAGACCGCCAGACAGGTGCTGGCTCAGTCTTTTGGTGTTTCTTTTTGCCGGTCAGTGGTAGCGGGGATAGATGTGGAAGGGATGTATCAGCTGGGACAGCCACAAAGCAACGGAGGATAACACACTCGAAATGAGTTTTGAAGTTATTTTTTTGCAGCTAGATGCTGTCTTCCCAGAAGCAGGACCAAAACTTCCCCGAAGCCATCGAAGTGCCTCTTTCAGATCAGACGAGTTGTCCTAAACTCCTAAACTCGGGTCGGAGCAGCATATGAGCTGGGTCTACTGTCTCAAATCTCATCGTTTCAGAGAACCAAGGGCTGTCGGGGATTACAGCAAACTGAAGAGAAAGCTCTTTTTGGATCGCTTTGGACCCACATGTGGATGCTTGGACGAAGACATTGTTCTTTACAACCATCACCGAAACGCGGAAGATGCTACTTGTGGTGAAACTGCTGGCGACAAAATCGGATGAGTTTCCTCGAATGCGTCGAATGCTTGACCTAGATCCATGGAGGCCTATATAATTCCGCAAACGACCGCACATCGACCGCTCAGCTTTGTTGCAGGCTTTGCTGGAGTTCCAATGTGAGCAGTACACAGATATTTTGAGCTTGGCCTATGAGTTCTTCTTGGTAATGGGTATCATATTGTCGCCTGGGCGGAAGCGGACCAGGGTGTCTCACCAGGGTGGATCCACAGGACCCTCCGCAGGACCCTGGGTCACTCAGCAGACGTTGCTCGCCGACATGAGCGTAATCCCCGAAAGCCGACAGGAGCGTGGCGTATGGGAGCGTGGCGTACACATTGGTGTACAATGGTGTATGCATGGTGTCTTATGGGGATGGGTCAAAACCTGGAGCCCGACCAGTCTACCATGTAGCGAACGACCCTCACGTCGGTAGGTCAACCAGTCGGTCTCCTAGTCTTGACCCACAGCCATATGGTGACATGTGGTCCTATATATAGATTGCAAATCAGTGCTAAGATGGCATCAACTCCGAAAAAATGGTGTGCGCTTGTATTGCTCGTCTTGCGCGGTTCCTTTAAATGGGCGTTGGCATCGCCAGCTCGGAGCTCGGAACAGCGAGGGGCCAGGCCCCTCCCAGGTCGGTTCTTGGCCAGTCGCAGGTGCTGATGTGTTGGAGGTGTTTGCCACAAGTGTCACAAGAACCTACCGTTCTACCACCATAACTTCTAATGCTTGTACAGGATTCCTTTCACCATCAAGAGTAGCGCATCTGATGTCCAATTCCATACACAGTACTTGAGGGAGTTTGTCCATTTGGGGACCCTTGGGCGATGCAAACGACCGACTTCCATCAACGCAGATCAGGTATGTGGTCCTGATCTTCGGCATCGGCAGCAGCATCTCCATCCAGATCTCGGAGTACCGCGTGCTGTGCTTGCGCGCTGTGAAACAGGTGCCTTCAGTGCCTTCATGATACAGACCCCATGTCATAGATAGAAAAGTAGATCCCTATATATATATATATCCCCATGTAGAAAATATATTGGACACCGTGCCACTATCTATTCGGGACCTCCATCCATCCATCCATCCAGCCAGCCTTCCTATACGACAACCGTGCGAAAACAAAAAAAGAACCGTGTGAACGGAGCGCCGGGCTCAGCTCGGAGCGAAGTGGGGCCGTCTTCCGTTTGTGGACGGGAGGGAGCGGGCCCGGGGAGCAGGCAGCTGGTTGAAGTCAAGCATCGCAAGATGATCAACCATGATTGACCATGGTTACCATGATTTTACCAGCTGTTCAGATGGTAGCCCATGGTAAATCATACGTTTCACAGCAAAAGTTGATCACCTGCGGTCACCAGAAATCGGGGGGTTAGCTTCCCCAAGAACTGGAGCAAGAGATGCGAACAGGTGGAAACATGTTTATTTTCCAGGGAAACGTAAGGAGTCAGACTGCGATTCTTGTTGCATGACACGTATAGTCTGAATACACGCCTGCTCAGAGTCTACTTTCACTATCCTTCGATCCTGACTTTCAGAGAGCTATAGAACCAATCAGGTCCTGGCACTGAAAAAACTCGCGGACAGTCCTGGACGCTGTTCTTTCCAAAAGAGATGAAGATAGGACACTTCTCAATGAGTCTACACATAACCCAAAAGTTTAACCGGTCTGGTGGTATGGTGGGACTGGAAGAATCCCTTCTTGCTATCCATGTTTGTCACTGGAAAGCTGGGTTTGGAGTGGAGTCCAATTGTCAGTGGCGCTCCTCAATCTGCGACATGAAGCCAATGGAAGCCTTGATCGCCCTCCCCGCGAACCAAAAAGTGACTCAAAGAACAGCAGAACACGTTCCCCATCACCAATTAAAAAAGACCTGAACCATCCTGTCTATGACAGTCTATGATTTGTCCTCCCGGTCGTTTCCACCTGGGCAAGACGGTTCGGTTGACACAGCCTGTGACCGAGAGTGGGCAGGTGATGCTGTGCTTTGGTGTCATCACGCTGGCAATCTTCACCTTTGGCTTTGCCATCACGGCCATGACTCGGGAGGCCGAGCACGAACAGCTCGTCGCTCCATTCGTCGCCGGTTCCGACATGCGCTGCTTTTCCCGAAAGAGACCGGGGAGACCGGTGTTTTTGGCATGAAGACTAGACCAAACGATGATCGCTGTCGGAACTTGGTATTGCTGAAGTGCATTTTCGTGTTTTGGTGCAGTGTGATTAACATCAGTATTCCCACATATTCCCACTGTCCCTTTTATGTGAATCATCCATTGAAATGTGGTGTTCATTGAAGTTCCTGGCAAGTGTGGGAATAGCTTCCAAGTTTGAGGCACGGGTACAGCTTGACAAGACTTGGGGCTCAAAAATGCCAAGGTTGTAGATTATAGACTTACTAGTAGTGGCGGCATTAATATGTATTGATTTCAATGCCAGGTGTGTCAATTGGACTTCTTTTCTGTACTTTGTATTTTTGACCGCACGGGTCGGACATGTTGCGTCGACGTTTTGCAAAGTAGTTTTCTCGTCGCCGTGCAGGTTGGGAACCTCTCAAGCCCAGATCCTTGACTTTCATGTTAAGAGATGGAGTCCAGCCAACCGCTGAGGGTGGCCAACATATTTTTTATTTAGTGATTTCGGAGTAGGAGTTGGAGCAAACGAAAAGCAATCTCAGAGTGCAGGATAGGAGACAAGTCAAAAAAAACAGTGAGCGGAAAGGTGAGCAGAAAGCGATCCAAAGGTGATGTGATTGAAATATGTGGATACCAAAAGCAAGAAGAAAGCAAAACAAAGTAACCAAAATGTTATCAAAAAAGCAATCCAGAATCGAGACCTAATATATCCTAAAATATAAACGTCACGTGTCGTTTCGGGAGGCGTTTCACAATATGTCAGTCAGTATGCTCACTATGTTCTTGCTATTTGCTCACTATGTTCCTGTCCATGCTTTGCTTTCCTATGTCTCCGCAATCACTTGTTGATTGCTTTCATTTTCCACATGTTGCACGAACACCCCAACCTATGTTCACTATTTTCTTGCTGAGTTCCTTCCTCAGGACCTCACAAAAAAGAAAAATCTACATTTCCAGTGGTTGCCTGTCGTCGCAAGTCTTAACTTTCATGTTTGGGTGACCAATGTTTTGCTTGACTTCCGTGCTGGTACACAATCCTTACTTACCGAAAAGGCTGAGAGTCATGAAAGCAAATGACAGAGTCTATGAGCTGTGAAGCTGGTTAAAGTCTTGGCTTTTGACGACTCATGTTTCAAATGACAGAGTCTCTTGGCCTTTATTTTCTGGGAAAAGACTCTCTGATTGAACAGAAGTACAAGGCCACCTTGAACAGGCGTCACCTGGGGCCACTGTGACCCGCTTGCGAGAGTCACTTGTGGCGAATTCCGGGGTGTTGCTGTCCAACAAGGTGCAACCAACTCCAGTGGGTCTCATGAGCCCTGTCTTCGCAAAACCGGGCCAGGGGTCTCGCCGGTCTCCCCATTTAGTTGGAGACTATTGTGAGACTGTTGTGGCATACTTTGGCATCAGCTTACCCCAAGATTACGCGTACCTGGGACCCTCCAAAGTCCCCAAAACGGGAGATGACCCTATCCAAAGCAGGTAACTTGTCCTGGTTTTCACTTGAACGGGTTCATCGGAAGGTCATTCACACGCCTGTCCCACCCCCCCAGAGGATCATTTCCGCTCAGCATGAACCACTGGGCATCGCCTTGTCCTGTCTTCGCTGGTTCTTTTTCCGCGGCGCCCAAATGGGAGCTACATGGGAGGGCACCTGTGGCTCGGCATGGCACCTGGAGACCCAGAGCCCTTGACCTCCGTAGGTTGACCTCTTGGTCGGTTTGTCCTTTCATTGTTCCTAGGAAAAAGCAAGGTCGCCCAATCTGCCATGACCCACAGCCATGCGTACAGATGCGCGGAATATCGGCGGGTTCATCTCAACCTGAGGAGTGGAACAACTTGGGGGTGACCATGAGCAATCTCTTTCAACTCGCTGTTGGCATGCTGGACTTAGAGCCTTGGACGATTAAAACCTGGCTCTATGATCATGCATGTCCAGCTCAAAAATATGACTCCGAGCATTGTGCAATACCATTATTGGGTGCAGTGGACGTGGGAAGCTTTGCCAACTTGATTGGCATGGAAAAGTCCTTTTGTTTCCAGATGCTTCAGACCACATGTCATGACGGCTTCTTCGTGTCGCAGCTTCGGCCTCGTTCGCCCGCGTGCGCCTGAACCGGGTCTTTGTCCCGATGTGTTTTTTCAGAGCAGAGTCTTGGAAAAAATCGGTCGATCGACTGACCAGAACGCGCCAACTTGGCGCTTTTTTTGTTGCGTCTCTCGACGCAGCGTCTTCGCACGTTGAGGGAGAGCTCAGCAACATTGCGGATGAGAGTCCGTTTCTCCTCATCGTGCCTTGGCGAAGAGACGAGAACTTGCAGGGTTCGGAGGGTGCTGGATCTCGAGAGGATCCGTCGAAAATTGACATCGGTCGATTGACCGACAAAATGGTCACCAAAACTCTCCCCAAGGTCTCGGTCTAATTTTTTGATAGTTCCATACACAAACTGTAACTCCAAAGGCGCTGGCAACCATCCCAACAGCTTTGAGACCTTGAGCACTGGATAGACCATGATAGACCAGTGACTTTGGTCAGCCTTTTGACTTCGATTGAAAGAAGTGGCATGTGCTTGTGCACCCAGACTGGAACAGCACTAAGGCTGCATGACTGGAACATACAATGGACCATTCGGAAATGTCCCTGGACCGGAATTATTGACTTCTCCTTGACCATTTTTTAGATGTGGACCTGTGGCTTATCCCAGTTCTGTGCAGATTGAGTTTCTGATGGAACTCGAATTCCAGAATTTTTACTTGATTAGCAGTGTAACACAGATGCTAATCATTGGTACGCTGCTGCTATATTTTTCGGCCTCTCTCGATTTCAAATTTGTTTTTTCACCCCAGTCGATTGCTAGCATTGGGCAATGCTTGCGTATTTGTGGTGAATCCATGGATATAATTGGATATATAATATATGCATTTCATAATATATATATTGTTTATTTTTTTGGTTTGCTTGCAGCGAGTTTGCTGATTCAAGCACGTTCTTTTGTTTTGGAACAGAGCACTCTATAAGCTCGAAGAGGACACGGGAACAAGTTTTGACCCGAGAACTTATCGGATTAGATCATCCTGCATGGGAGCTTCGGAAGGGTTTGAACACGGGAGCTTCGGAAGTGGACTTACCCCAATTCCGATTTGGTCATTGGTCTTGTCGTTTGGTCTTGTCCTTTGGTCTTTCGTCACAGAACCCTAAACACTCGCGCCTCAGAACACGCGCTTTTCGCCACATCGCTTTGCTTCGCGGCGCACACACCGGGCAGACCCATTGGGTCAGTCCGGTCTCAGATCCTGGCTTCGTTCATGCTCCTGGTCTACAGCTTCTTCTTCAACCTCTTGGTCTCGTGCCTTGGGCCGTTTTTCATCGGTACCAAGCGACGGTATGTTCGGTCACGGTCAACACCGACCGCCGGAGGTCTTCTGGGCATTTTGGTGATCAAAAACACCGCGTTTGGTGGCGGTATGACTTGCTGTTCAAGCTCTGAGGTTAGAGAGGTTCTATGATCATTAGGATATATATATATATAAGGTGCTGTTCAACAACTAGGAATCCTGGAAGCTGACTGGTGCGAGAGCTCGGCACAGGTCGCCTTAGGGGATTAAAGAGACGAGCATGAACAGGATGGGCTCAGTGACTTGCGAACGTGTCTTTTTCATCCGTCCTTCGCCCTTCCTTCGCCACGTGTCTCTTTTTGTTTCGGAACTTCCGCAACACCGAGTGGCTGGACGAACGTCCCGGTGCAGGCAGTTCTGTGGTGTCTACGCCTCCTTGGCTGCCGATAGCGAAGGCCATGCACGCCTGTCCAGGGGCGACGTCATCTTGGACACGCTCAAGGCAGCATGGGAGACCGTCCGTGGCGGTTCTTCTTGGGTTCTGCACGACTAGACTAGCAGTGATAGTGAGAGCGACCTGTTTGTGAGGAGTCCTGTCTTTTTTTTTCGGGTGGAAAGTAGCGTTCCAAGCGACTTGGAACGTAGGGTTGGAAGGGTGCCCCTGACAGTCACTCAAAGGCGCTCCTTAAGGGTCCAGAGTCTTCTCTCTCGGGTCATGGTATTGGTCATTCGTCTAATCCCATGACCCTTGGTGTGTTGATCCCTCTTTGAGGGTGGAATGTTGCAAATTGCTTAGTGCTGTCCGTGAGAGATGTTCTACTCAGCTGGGCCATGAGATATGTCCTGAGATTGCAGACTGGAGCAATACAACAAGAGGCTCCCGCATCCAATCGATTATGTTGGTGAAATGGACGCTTTTGCTGGTCATGCTCAGTTCCAGGCCAGCAGCACACTGAGTTCAGCAGATCTTTGCTTGCATTCCTGTTTCTACAAGCCAACAAATTACACAGAACACAATATATACGGTACCTAATACCTGCAAGTGTTTTTTGTGTGTTTTTGGTCGGTAGTTCAACATACCTTATTTTAGGTCTGTGGACCACATAAAGATCCACAACCAAAATAAACATCCGCGGGAAAAAATTGGAGGGCGGGTGTGCTTGGGAGAGCGCACACTAGCTCAAAACCTTTAGAACACACTGTAAATACCGTGCAACGTTTCAAAAACTGCTCTGGGACCTAGGCGAAACACATTTTGTTCAACGTTCCTGTGCCCAGTCTGGATGTGCAATGTCATCAATAAGGAAATGATGTTTTGGTTGGAACAGGTTCCTGGAATTGAGAAGAAAGAGACCTCTGAGAAAGGAATTTAACAAGGACATGAAATGAAACTTTACTTAGATACTGACAACAGGCAACAAAAATGTTCGGCTTTACTTAGGATGCAATTGATTTAGGGTATGGTGGCTTCATGAGGGGTAGCCTTTCCAGAGTTGTTTTGATCAAATTTGAATGGCTTTTAAGTAAGGGTTCTACAAATAATTTTCAACGCAGGACTTGCGTTTAGTAACTCTGTCGGAAGCACAGTGGCGCCAGTACTCGGCAAAAGCGGTTGTACAAACCCTGAAGTCTATGCAACCGTGTCAGAAAACCAAAAAAACACACACAAAAAAAAACAATGTTTGAGACAAAATGGAGGCAAAACACCCCCCCAAAAAATAACAAACAAATCCAACTCCTATAGTACCCCCATTTTGTCTCAAACATTGTGTATTTTTTTTATGTTGTTGTTTGTTTGTTTTTTGGTTGTGTAGTATCCCCTCAAAACTGTTATAGGCCTGGTCCTCACAAAATAGATCTAAAAATAGCTGGACAAAAACCTAGGTTTTTGTTGGTGATGTTTTAGCCAAAAATCACTATATAAACACAATGTATCCCCTCTCAGCTGTGATAGGCCTGGTCCTCACAAAATTAATCAAAATATAGCTCAAAACCTAGGTTTTGGTGATGTTTTAGCCAAAAAGCACAGTCAAATAATGTGTTTGCTTATTTGTTTGCATGAAACACATCTCCCAGGAGCACCCGTATTGAAATAAAACACATGTTTGGGTAAACGCCTGTGGCTCACCGATAAACACCTGTAGCTTACACCCGTTGAATATCAGAAACAGATCAGACAACTAAAACTCCGCCGACTTAAATAGACTCTAAAAGATGGGTTTCATGCTGCAGATAAAACCACACTGAGGAAGCTCCAGGTGTAGTATATGTATACACATAATTATACATTAATTAGGAATCGATAAGAATTGGATTTCAACTATTTCATCTATACCTATCACTATATTGAAATGAACTTTTGTGTGTCACAAAACCCTGATGGCTGCGTCCGGCAGCGGCGCCAACCAAAAACCTGAGCTGGGTGTCTCTTAATAATAAATGTCATAGTGTAATGCCAAAATCAAAGTTTTTGGTGCGAAGAGGACTTTTGTAGTTACGACATTGCAAACATATACTGTACCCTTTTTTTGCGCCTTGCGCCAAGACCCTGAATTGCTCCGAGACAGATAATCATTTAATGCTTGCAATCAAGGAAGCCGCCAGCTTTTTCACCTTTGGTCTTCACGTGGCTGCAGGATCCGCGTGAGCTGAGTATGTAGCTGGGAATGGAGTTTCTGGCTTTCGTTGATCAGGCTTTGCATCCTAGCACGACGACAGGACCCCAGCAGCAGTCTTTTGATGAGGCTGCCAGTGGCAATTTTTTTTTTTTGTGAAAATCTTTGATTGGGGAGGGAGTCGCATGAGGGATCTGAATGTGAATCTCTAGCGGCTCTTCGACCACCAGGACTCAACGCTCAGCCTGTGGTCCAGATGTTGTATCTTACATGATCCAAGTCATCCTTCTTGATGCAAAGCGGGAGGTGGTCTATGATTTTTCCAGGGTGTCTGGGATTTTGAAAGGCACAATCAAGGTCATTGACTGGCAATCGAACGAGCTTCGCAATAAAGAAGGTCCAATTTTGTAGGGGCTTACCTTTTTTCCCAGTTTTCTCGAGCCGACCCCAAAGGTCGACGTTGTCGGGTGTTGTACAGCATCATGGTTTGACGGTGTCTTGCCTGCGACAATGATTGAGATCTCGTTCTCTATACTGAGTGGAACCACTCGATTGAGTCCAGGCGGTTCAGATGAAGCGATGGAAGCAGTTCATCCTCAGCTTGTCCCTCGACCTTCGGACGGACTTCGACGAGGGCGATATCGGCCTTGCCGGAGGCGGGTCGGTCACCTGGAAAGGCAGGTCAGTGCACGCCGCCGAGGAAGAGCGGTGGTCGTATTTGCTGGATTGGCATACCCGTCACTTCATGGATACAGTTATGGCCCCATTTGAGATGTTTTTTTTTTGGGGGGGGGTGTAGGTTTGAGTCTACATACTACTTGTATCTCTTTGTAGTTCAGTGCGACCGCACAAGGGGACACGCTAAATCTCCGGACCCAGTTGACCCATTTGACCCCAAGCTACTACTGCTGACTGGGTCAACCGGGCTCAACCGGGTCAACTGGGTCCGCCACCACTACTATCAAACTAGAACACTTGTTGAAGGGTACAAAGCATGGGTCTCCTTGCACTTATGTGCCTTCTCAGTCTTGCAAGGTCATCAGCAGAAGTAGGTTTGACTACGCGTCACGTCTGACAGCATCGACGACGGGTTAACCGGGGTTCAGCTAGCTTGGAGATTGACACTGGAATCGTCCAAAATAAATGTTCCGCAAAGCGCGATGATTTTCAAGCGGCCACTCTGGTGGAGTGCCATTGCCGCGATGCTTCCTGCTTACAGACTTCTAGTGCGGCATGTGCCGTTTTCTTCGTGCCAGGTGTGAAAGTCTTCGAGCCTGCAGGAGCAAACCCCAAGACACAGGAGACAAGCTGGGTCGAACGTGGACCTCAAGTTTGGATCAGCAAGTTCCGCGATGTTCAGCACCTATTACCGTAACCCATTCACCCTACCAAAGCCGCGGCCTATGGCTTATTTGTGGGCAGAGTGGGAAAGACCCCCTCTATGACACAGTGTTGGGTGAGGGGTGAGGTTTCGGGCGCGAAAGGAAACCATTCTATGTGTTTGAATTCATGTTGACCACAGCTTACCATCCGCATGGAAGACTCTCTTCCATCCGCGCCTTTCAGAAGTTCAATCCCCGAAGACGAAGACGCCAAGAGTCCGTGTGACCGTGTGACCGCAGTGCAGACGGTGCAGCGCCAGGACCAAATCATCCGTTTTGGAGGACAGACGGATCCATCATTGCCATGGCCCGAAAAGAACGAGGATAATGACCAGAGTCAAGACAAGCGCCTGAGACTATACTCCAGTCGTCAGGCTTCGGGGCGCAGAGGCTGGATGATTGGGTCAGCTTTGTAAAGCTCCTGCCTCTCTGGGGGATGCGCCTGTTGATAAAGGTTTGTTTCAGCAGGCTCAAACATATAAGAGTTATAAGGGGGGCACCTGAGGAGTTTGACAATTCCCATGGGCCAGTGTTTGGCAGAGTGCAAAGCCATTTGACCCAAATCAAAGCCCATCATGTATTGTGGGACCGACTTACGCAATTAACTGGCACTCCATGCGGAGAAGTTTCCCTGTTCAGCAGCCAACCCTCAGGGCCAAGTTTGTGTTGCCTGACAATTCAGGCAAAGAATGCCTTCATGTCCTTACCACATACGAGTTTTGTGTTCGTTGCTTTTATTGGACACCAATCTAAAACGTCTCGTAACGAGTGAGACACCAAACAGTGTTAGGGGGGGTCAACTTCAGCACTCTAGAGCGCACACATATGAGACAGCGCGCACACATACACACACAGTGAGAGCATGCATATGAGAGCACACACATTGCAAACAGATATGATAGGCAGAGGAAACACCCATATGAGAGCACATATATAGACACACGCACACAAGAGAGATCGAGATAGCACGAGTATGCGAGAGTTCAAACATGAGAGTACACACATGAGGTCATACATATAAGAGCACAGATGTGGGAGGATAGATGAGATGAAACACATCAGAGCACAGATATGGGAGCAAACACATGAGCAGGCATGAGAGCACTTGCGCGCGCAAACATGAGAGCAAACTTAAGAGAGCACATGTGAGAGCGAACACCTATGAGAGCACACATATGTAAGCACACACACAAAACTGAACAAAGGCATGAGAGCACACATATCACATATGTGAGCAAGCACAAGAGAGCACACATATGAGAGATCACACACACACACACACATGCGAGTACACAAATGAGAGCACACAGGTGAGAACGAACACAGGACAGCACACATTTCTGAGCACACAAATGAGAGAACAATTATGATAGAGAAGCGACATGTGTGAGAACTCAAGTCAAGTGAGAGCAAACACTGGATATATATATATATATACAGTATATATATATATTAGGTGCGCTTTCCGGTACCCACACTTTTTTGAGGTTTTACAACGCGCTGCGCCACGAAATCTTCACTTCGAGCGTCACACACACAGTACATGCAGCACCTGCCGTAAAATCTTGGCTTGGCAGTCAAAGTGCTGCGCCTGCCACAAAACCTGCACTTCATCACACTGCACAGCCCTGCGAGTACGTTTCGCAACATAAGCACTTCCACAAACAAGTTTGAGATACCGCAGAAAAGCTTTCGAGTGATACTTAGTCCAGAAACGAGCGTATGTCCACAGTTCACGATTCACTGCACCTGCTGTGAAATCAGAGCACGCCAAAGATGACCACCAAAGTGCTGCGCCTGCCACGAAATCACACATCGAAGAAAAGCAGCTCCGATCTACTGCACCTCCCACAACAAGCATGACCACCAAGTCCAACAAATGTGCACGATACCACAATGAGAGCGCAGTCAAGGAACCAGTTTGTGCGAGCCTGCGAAGTCGAAATGCACTTCGAGGCATGAATATGTCGTTAAGTTAATTGCATCGAATTGGCCAGACCGGTGAGCACCCTAGGTCAAACCCTTATCGTCCCTCAAGAGATCTCTCGCGTATCTTGGAAGGGTTCTGGGCCCGTTCAAAGTAAAGTGTGGCCTTTTGATGATAATAAGGGAAATCTAGGGTAACCACCCCCCAAAACATAACATCAAAAAGTGAGACTTGAACCCACCTGAAAGGAAACAAAAAACCACATTCCACATGTTTCGATGTTTCTACCTCCTTGCATGCCATATATATATATGGCAATTGTGGCCATATAGCCACATACTATTTTTGCAAATAACAGGTTGTTCCTCAGCCCCTGGGCCTGTGTCACAGCTGCCATCCCCAAGGATGATCCAAAAGACGTTGCTTGGATGGATCAGTAGCGGGACGACTTTGAAAAACAGTGCACGGGGTCAAGGCGGTTCAACCCCATTGTGGTGGACAGGGAAGGCCATTCATTCCCGACGGAACAATCAATGACTCGATGTTGCGAATGATTGCCTCAACCCACTGTCCCTTAGTCTTATTGCATGTCAAATAATGTCAAATATATATATATATATATCTATGCCATACGGTCGAACATTGATCACAGGTTCTTTTCCCCACCGTCCAAAGCCACATCATGATTTCAATCAAGGGGTCCTGATCTACCGTCATAGCATATCAACTGTTGCTAGGGTGAGTGGATCACAGGACAGTGAGTGGATCACCGGACATGCAGAACAACACGAAACACAAAATGCACCCGGCATCATTCCTCGAACATAAAGCAGTCACAGCAGTTTGAGGTAAAATCAACTTGTTCGACTGGGTGCAAAAGAGATCCATAGAGTCGCTATGGTGGAGGTTTCAGGAGTCCTCCAGTTGGAGTGTTAGGTAACTTTAACTCCCAACTCGCAACGTCCACAAAGCCAAAATTTGGTGTTAGGTTTACCTCCTATGTTAAGGCAGACTTGCGGATCTCTACACATGTCCTGTTGTTTTCCGCCCACAATCTGACCATCTATTCTCAGGGTGCCAGAGGCAAACCACCCCACACAGCTGCACCATGCTGCACCGACAGGGGTCAATCTGTCATCTGTCGCTCCCCGACCAAAACAGGAGCGCAGCGACTAGCGGTGCTAGGGCGGTGCCAAGGATTCAGAAGTCTTTGGCCCATTACCTGGGCAAGAAGGGTGACGGTAGCGACTTCACGCCACTCGATTAAAACGTCAGACAAAGGGTGCACATGGGTGGGTGACGGTTTTTACTGCGGAGGTTCACGTTTTCGACGGTTTGGTCGCAGGAGGGAAGGCTCGGTATCCAATCTAGACTGCCAGTCCTGACCTCCAGGCTTTGGTTGTTATTCCATCAGCGTTTCAGAGGGGCTCGATCGGATGTTGGACCCATCGGATGTTATATGATTTTACCATCCATCACATGGACATCGTCGATTGAACGATTGCGTACTTTGTTGAACCAGTCCATGGTTTTTGATGCTAGATAAACGATTAATCATTAATCATAACCACATTGTTCTATACGAGGGTGTGTGTTAACCCACGCAAACACCCACAGGATGGATGAGATGCATACTGACCACCTGCGGTTTGACACTGAAACGTGGTAACCAACGCTCAGTCCTTCACGTCATGTCGACTCATGGAGAGTGGGAAGATACCAGCGACTCAAGCGACTCGATGCGACTCCGAGTCCCGAGGATCGGAAGAGCCTCAAATTGAAACAGAAACCTTTTTTGGAAGAAAGTAATAGCTTCTTGTTACTACTAGTAAGGCACTTGTGACTACTAGCGATGCACTTGTTACTACTAGTAAGCTCGAAGACACAATCTAAGTTGAATTTGTAGGTCAGCGGTCAGCTCCCCAACCTCACCTGTGGCACCACGATCACGGCGAGGCTTAGCAGCAGCCACAACAGCAGCAGCAACAAAGGGGACTGAGTGCCTTCGGATCCCGGAATGCAGGCAGAACGAAGGTGGTCATATTGGCCGAGACTGTGCCATCCGACTGGTGCAGAGTTGTTTCGTTTCAATGGCCCTGGGTCTCCGAAAACGGGCGGACGAGATGCGTTTTGGTCCCAACACCTAGCCCTAGTCCTGGGAGCCGTTCCGACAGAACCCCCACACAGGGTGGGTATATAAATGTGGATATACACACCCTAGCGATCCAAGTACCTTGTCAGGTACGGTGATTGGAGACTGTTTTTGTAGGCTTGGAGGGCCCAGTCGTACCTTCTGAGAAGGTATGTGGATCCCCAGGGATAGACTTCTGAACTCCCAAAACCGGGGAACCGGCGAACCACGACGACGCGATGGACGTGAAGGGCAGCCCTGGTTTTTTTGAGCTTCGGTTCGGGGATCCAGACCCCACCCCGACTGTACTGGGAAGAAGCGTCCGAACCGGTCACAAGTTACAGAAGCCATGAAACAAAACCAAGGGTGCACGTTTGTGTCAGAGGCAACCCTTATGAGTTGGCCCTCCTTTGTGGTCACGTTTTTCAGATGGCTTTTTGGTTTGGTGGTATTCAGTACATCGCGTCCAAAGCGCCTGAGAGACCCAGGCCATTTGAGGTGAGTTCCAGATTTTGGGCTCTGATGTCACACCCATGAGCTGGGCTGGGCTGGGCTAGACCTCAGCCTGGAAACTATATGGGTGTGAGGTACAGAGCGTTTCGGATGCTTTGCCATCAGTTTCTTCAGCCGCATTTCAAGGAGATTTGGAGCGTACGCCCCATATACAGGGGTTGCAAAGGTGGGAAAGAGTCGTATGCCCCAAAACGCAGTCCCGCAAGGAAAGAGTCCTAAGAAGTGGGGAATGCAGAATCATGCAGACAACATGTCGACACAAAGAAGATCAATAAGTACATGTCACGATAGCAGACCATCGTCCACAACTTTCGCTCGCTCCTTCCCTCCGAGTTCAGGACGGTGGGGCCAAGGAACCACAGAGATAGACAACAGGAACAATGGACTGGAATAGGGGCGAAAAGGAAGTCATATTAAATGAGGTCATCAAGCCTCAATGTAGTATGATGTAGTTAATATATGATTTGATTCGGCCATGTATAGGCATGTATATGAAATCTCTTCCATCCTGGCCTCAGATCAATTGCCTTCACCCAGTACATCTACATCAGTTTTACAGCCGGAGGTGCGCCATTTCTGCAAGAGTCACAGGTGGACGTTGAAGTTGGATGCGGAGAGCTGACACAGATGCATTTCCGCAAAGTGTCACTTCAAGCTGCAGAAAGCAGCATTCATGCCAGAATTGAATCGCTTCAAATCTTGTTTTCAGGCTGACATTTGAAAAGCCTGTTGGCCCAAGGCCAGGCTTCCGGTCGTCAGCCATGTTTCAGGATGCTCGAGACTTTCGAGCCTGATGTGTCCACCAAAACTGTGCACGTGGAGCTTTCTGCTCACTTCCTTGACTCGACTTTCCAGCTCTGTACAGCAATCCTCAAGATGTGGCCGGCTCAACAGAGGTCATTGACCAATACGTCCGAGGTGTTCTTCTTCGGCACCCCAGTCCACTGCTTGGGCCAGAACTCTGGTGGTCGGTTGGGACATGTTGGGACCAAGCTGTCGGTTGGGTCGTCTCCATGGATATTGCAGCCGCGGCCGTTGGTCGTCTCCGTGTTTTGAGGCGGTGGAGCGGCTCCGTGTCACAAGCGAAACGGTGTAAGGCCCCGTATGATATTGCTTGTCAAGACCGGTGCAGCAATGAGGCAAATGCTTAGCCAGGTGCAGAAGAACTGGCCCATGAGTAGTATCTCTCAAAAGTCCTTGAAAGTAGAGATGCCCTGATCCATTCTGCTGCCTTCAGACAAGATCGGCATGGTTTGCTGGATTGTGGCCCTGAATTCCTAGAAGAACATGACTCATGGCGTGTTGAATATAGGGCTGCGGGACATGTTCCCCTTAGAGAAAGCCTTTGAGTACCCAAGAGACTTTGAAATCAGCTGGCACAGATGTACTGACTGAGGAAACTTCTTGAATACGGTGGTGCAGATAACTCCATGTTAACGTTTGTTTCTTTGTGTGGGATAAAGTACATGCAAGCAGCAAGTTAAGATGTTTGCTGCCTTTTGAAGCAAGAACTGAGCAAGCAATGGGTGTCAAGTTCGCTCTTTGAGCCAGCCATGCTAAGACTTCCGGCACAGTTGGACATGGACCAAATTGGCGACATGGACAAGGCACCGGCGGGATGTGTTGCTTCTTTGGCAGTTGGATGCACCTCACCGCACTCACCAAATCACTGACCGAAACAAGCATGGAAGTGGGCATGAGCATGACCCCTGCAAGACCATTCCCCCCTACAATCAGGGGATTCTCTACTTACTAACAAATACCTGCTGCATGCAGGTATTTTGATTATATTTTGTTCTCTCGAAATCATAACCGAGCGCCCATCACGCGCCTGGTCACTCCCCGGTTTGGGTCACTCCGGACGTCGCAGAATCGCCGCACGATCGTTGATAAGTTGACCGTGAAATCAAAACCTTTTGACACGTCTTTTAAGTCAAGAAGCGTCACTAAAGAAGTCGGAGTTTGTAAAGGTGCACCTGACCAGCGGACAACAAACAAAGACATCAACAAGCTCCAACAGGAGAATCAAGGCTTTGGAGTTAGTGGCCATGGCACAAGCCTGTTGAGAAGTGCAGATTTGGCTTCGCAACGGACGCAGTCTGAAGCGTCACCTTTCTACCGGGTGTGGGGAAGCCTCTCGATCACGACTGGGTGGACGACTCTGTTGATTATGACCGTGGACGATATCACGACCGCGGACTCTCAGTGTTTGAGAATTTGAGAGAAGAGGGGGGGAAGAGGGCGGAAAGGGTAACTGGATGTGCACCAGGAATGGCACCAACACAGGATGGATTGCATGGCCCGAAGCAAAATCTTGGAAGCACAAATTTGGGATGTGTGTGTCAACTTGGATGAACTTGATGAATTGACGGCCAAGTACAGCGGTTTGATCAGTCACGAGAAAGAACACCTGCCAAGGCTTTGTTCAACATTGCAAGGTTTGAATATGTTCAAGACATGGCTCTTGGACGCTTGTGAGACTCCCCAGCCTCACGAGATTAATTCAGGCGGGAAGAGCTTTTCAGCTTTTCAGGACCCTGAAAGTGGGCCCTAGGCTTCGGATGGCTTGGGGCAGAAAAACATCTCTCATCCCCGTGAGTCAGATCGACCTTGGTTGGATCTTCGACGTCTTCAAAGATGCCATCAAGTGTGAGGACCTATTTGAGGCATACGCACGGAAGCAAGGACGCTACGAACGGGGTTCCTGGCATCGCTAGTAACAAGAAGCTACTGGGGGCTCCTGGCCTCACTACTAGGAGCAAGGACGCTACTAGGGTCTCTTTGAATTCGATTATTTTATGTTTTCTGCAAACGTCACACCTGGGCATTGGAGACAGCATCCAGTAACGCGCTCGATGCTTGTAGTTTCCAATGACGGATGACTTGTATCATGATACAATCTATATTGATTGATGCTTGTTGTAGTTCGACCTTCTTGGTGAGCACCAGTTTTTCCTAAAGGGTGATGTTCGGTACCCACTTTGATGACAGAAGTTCGTCAGTCTATCCCTTTGCAAGGAGGTTCTAGGTATTGTTGTCCAGTTGTGCAGTAGTGGGTTGCGTCAGATAAGGAGATTCAGTGGTGCTTGGTTTTACCTGCTGCACAAGAGTTTTTGACAAGGAGATGCCAGCTGTTTTCTTCGCTCGGGCCGCACTTTGGTCATTTCAAGCTGTATTTGGGTGCCGACTCCTTCGCTGCGCAAGAGAGAGGCAGAGAACCATGATGATTAAGAGGAGGTCATGAGTCATGAGTCAATCTTGGGCTCTCCTTAGGGCATGTTTCCTGGAACTGTTTGGCACCTGTTAATATTCGTGTCCTGTGTATATCGATTTACCACTATGTATATACCCACCCTGTGCGGGGCTTCTGTCGGAATGGCTCCGACTAGGGACTAGGTGTTCCCAGTTACAGTTGTTGTAGTCTGAAGACCTTTCCATGAAAACAATGCAATGTTTGTTCTGCACAAGTCATGGTTTTCCAAAAAAGAAGAAAAACGTACGCAGCCTCCACGGACGAGTACTTATTCATAAATTCCGACCAAGAAGGCACCAATTGAATTCATCAAGACTGGCTTCAACCTGGACTTGTCCACCCAATGTGTGTCGGATGGTGTTTGGTGTATTACGGTTTCTATATGGTGTCAACGAGCGAGTCCGGGAAGCTGTGCGTGGGTTCCAGCGAGCCGGAACGCTGAGACGACCACGAATAGGTGGATGGTATAACTGGAGATGGTTCCACCAAGAGAGGTAAAGATACCTCTTATTAAGGGCTATATGGGAGAGTAATTATTCGAACAGAGAGCTGTATCAACCTGGAATGGCAATGAATGGCCTACAGCTCAGCGGACCATAGCAGACCTTCTGGACTGAATCTTTCGACGCTGCCCACAGCCGTACCCTATCACCCTAGGTCTTGCTGCCAAGACCATCCAAAAACTAGAAGAAACATGTAGGGTCTTGAAAAAGAACTCAGTTTTTGCAACTAAAACCCGGTTTCTCAAAAACAATTCACAAAAGACGGGTTTTCCCGGGCAAATTACGGGTTTTGCACAGGATAAACACGGGTTCTGAACATGAGAACCCAGTTTTTAATGAGAAACCAATTTTTTATCAGAAAAACTGGGTTTTCGTTCGTCTTGTATGCCAAACACGGGTTTTCGGAAAGAGGTCATCTTTTTTTCTAGGGTTTGGTTGCTCCTGGTGATTAAAGACTGACTCTGAAAACGCAAATGAACATCCCATGGTTTCATGTACACCCGGGTGCTCCGAAGTACTCTGGCCTGCTGTAGTCTCCGGGTTGGATTTTCTACTGATTCTACATCCTCTCGACCACGGCGCGCAGATATCATTGACGACGCGAAGTGCACGATTGACGGCACGATTCCGCGCCCTAAAGGGGCTGCGAATTTCAAAGCTGGTCCACAGGAGTAATATGAAGAACTCCCTGGGAGATCATCAGAAGTCTGGAAGATTGGATGAAGAGCTTCCCTTCCTGTAGACTCCCCGGTACTACCAGGTCTTTTTCATGTTTGTTCAAATTTGTTCAATCCACATGGGTTACATTGTATCAATCAAGAGACATCAAGAGACTACATTTAAGATACATTCAATACATGCGTGTTTGTGTGTCTAACTCACACATGTTGCCGCCGTGTTGCAAATCGGGTCAGATTGTGCTGTTCTACTTGCGCCGCTTCATGGTCCAAAAGATGTTCAGACTCAGAATGGCCTCCAGATGCAGATCCTTGTACATCATGTTACACTGGATCTTCATGAGGGGTGGTTCATGGTGTTTCCTATGAACTGGATGGCGGCTCTATGGGTGCGTATTAGAATAGGAAGAACTCCAGGCTCCCTGAAAGGAGGAAAAATAGACAAGCACAACCTTTTAAAACGCAACCTATATGCTCATTATGCTCATAGTGCTTGTTGCTTGACCTGCGGATTCGTTGCACATATCAAGACCTGCACCATCTCGGTTTTGCCCGAAGAGTCTTGAGGAGACCCAAGAGTATTCAAAACAGGACCTTCCAAGCGACATGTTTGGTGTTTCTAAGTAACCCTTTACAGGCCTAAATGACCACATCCTAGGATCTCAAAAGGTCACTTTGAATGCCTGCTGGAAGTTGTGTGAAATTCAGCTACTTTGTTTACTGGTCGGAACCCTCGCCTTGGCCCAACAACACATGGAGACCTGAGTAAGCATGCTGGCAAAACATCCAGTAGCTCAGCACACGTTGTGGGTGGCGCTACGGCGCTACGGCGACGCTGAGACCTAGGGAGGTCACTTCCGATCCCTGTGACACCCGAGCGTTTAGCGGAGCGGAGGAGCAGAGCGGTGGGGCATCCGATCTTTGAAGCAATGAAAATGAGTGAAGTGTACAGGTATACATGGATACAGGAGGTTCTACTACGGTGCTTGCCATGGTTTGGAGAACACCATGTATACTTATATATATATATGTGTGTATGTGTACATGTATATGTTTACCATGTTTTACCTAGATGGCTTGATTTTTTTGGGGGGCGAAACTACCATCAACTGACCCAAGACCGCTGCAGGGTCGTTGGTGTTTTTTTCCCTGCCGCTGTTGGGCTGGTCTGTGGCTGACTTGGATGACTTGGATCTCCACACGGAGGTCATGAGTACAAACAAACAGCAGGCTGATTCCGGCGTCCCAAGTGATATCCCACCCAAAGGTAATCCTGGTGATGCCTCCGAGAGAAACGAATTGTGTTGGTATTTTTGGGTTGCCAAGGATCTGTAAACTATCCAACAATTAACTAACCTCCAAGATGCAGGCTGTCGCCCCGGGTTTTGGATTCTCCCGGCACATGTCAAGTCAATAATACAGGTTTGTTATTTTCAGTGGTCGACTCAGACAAATATGAAAAATTGAATCCCTGACATCGGCTTCTTGCATTGAAGAGACAGTGTCCACCGAATTAGCAGAATGCTTGTGAGGGTGTGATTCTCACCCTCACATTCTTTGCCGTGCATAAGAGCCCGGGAGTTTGGAAAAGCCGCCGCCAGCCATTGCCGTGCACTCATGGGTGCACATGAGTGTGGCTCAAACATCAAGCCACTACGCAGGTGTTGGTCTTGTGTTCCCGGCAAACCCCCAGTTTGGTTGAGCTGCTGCTTCCTTTCAGATGACCCCCATGTCTCGCTCTACTCGACCGGGCACTTCACGACTTGGCCGTAGTGAAGCGATCAGCTCCAGAGAACGATAGCGAAAGCAAACCCAAGTCGACCAACAGACTGGTGCGACGAAAGTGAATCGGGGAACGAATCCACACTGACACTGATTTATTTATAGATCCACCCAGCCCCATTCCTTGCTTTCGCACCCGTGAAACCAAAATGCCATGGGGGGCACTCCACTCTACAAGCCCTTTGGCCTCTACACGCCCTCGCTCCAAGCCTCATGACCTTGTTCTGGGTCGCCCCATTGCGTGGCACCCCGGGAGTCTCGTCGCGGGAAGCTGCGAAGCTGCGCAGCGGTGATGCCCAGGACTTTTTCGGATGGACGCTCCATGTGCAGTCGAAACCATGCTATTGATCGACATGTTGGACTGTTCCTGACCATGTTTCTCCACCCACTTTGGATGTTTGCCGTGTTCCCTGTTCCCATGATGTTTTATCCCAAAAGAGCTACTGTACATCCTCACCTGAGCTGCTCCACTATTAAAGACTGAAAAAAGTCAGTTCCATGCCGACAGCGTTGTTGGTTCCTACGCGAGGAATCGCGGGCGTTGTTTTTTGCACATGCTGTCCACGGTCTTGAACATGATGTTTCAATGGAATGTGGAAGGGCTGTTCAATACTTATTATAAAATCTAGAGGTTAAACAATAATGTAAATGACCGACATCTATATGTCATCAATGCATTTGCATGCACATAGGTAGCCAACACCTCCTCAATACATGTATGTTGCTCCTTCCGCCAACCACAAGCCAACTCGAGTACACACTCAAGCAGTCTGGCTGCAACACTCTAGCTGTTCCTTCCCCCGATGTATGCCGCTGGACGATCGGCAAGATTTACAAGAACCCTGCGTTTGTACAACATTATGTTTCGTCATCATCAACTTGTACTGCAGGGTGTGTTCTGTAAAACTATTAGGGTCAGCAATCATCCATGTTGTTAAAGTGTTATAAGTCATAGTTGGAAATCATCATGTTGTAGCCAGTTTGGATTTTGTCATTTGCAGTCGTTTGGCTCAAGGTTTGTTCGGTGCTGAAAACAACTCTGTAGATTGTTGCACTGCGACCGGCCAGTCGTGCCCAGTTTCAACACGGCCGGCCCAATGGATCAGACCAACGAAGAGACGAACCAGGAGCGCAGGCGTCGTAGGCATCGTAGGCATCGTCGAAGTTGCAGCGTCCAATTTGGGTATGGGCTGGGTTTTATGCGGAGCTTTCGCACCTGGAGAACACCTCTCATGATAGGTCAATGACCAATGACCGGATCTGGGTCTTGATGACCTGGTCTTTGAAACATGTTTCCTGGATTTTCCTGGTGAGGTGGGTTCGAGAACCCACCTGTGAGGGACCAGTTTCTGGTGGTAGCAGCAGAGTGCACTCACGGTGCTAAAAGCCAACCCTTTGTGGAACTGGGATTTAATCTTAGCCTGGGAACGCCCAATGTCCATCACAGGTGGTTGATCCAAGCGCAAAGATGTGCTTTCGAGTCGTACAGAACGGGCAACAAACAAACACATGGATTGCGACCGCACAGGGGGCCACGCTAAATCTCTGGACCTCGTTGACCCAGTTGACCTCAACCGGGTCAACCGGTCAACTGGGATTTAGCATAGCCACCGGGTCAACTGGGTCCACCACCGCCACTACTACTACTACTACTACTACTACTACTACTACTACTACTACTACTACTACTACTACTACTACTACTA